GCAAACAGAGTTGGCTGTTGCAAATGATGTGGCAAACCTGACCAAACCGCACCTTGACATTGTTGGACCCAGGTGCATCTTAGTTTTTGTTGATATCCCCTGGATCCAAACATTTGGGACCTTTCCTCTATGGGCATCTCTTGGAAAGGCATATTTTGGAGATCAACAACACTGCCGAGATGATTTGTGGTGAGGAGGGCTCACCTCTCTTCCTTGTCTCAAAGGCCAAGAACCAGTTCTTGATGCACAGGGAGTTGTTTCTTGATTGGGTTTAAAAAGTTGCAAGCCTGTATATGTGTGCAAAACCATATGCACACATGATGTATATATATATATGCATCATATACATATCAGAAATATGGAATATCCCCAATCAGTCAGTGCTCAGGTTTTCCTTCGGCTCAGGGGAGTGGAGGAACGACCGTGACGCTTGGAAGATTCAGTTCCAAACTTGTAAAACTAATTCCAATCAAGGATGCAAAGGAGGACATGAATAATCTAAGGATGCAAAGGAGGTCATGGAAGATGCTGAAGGACGTTGGTTCAGCTTCAGTGCCCAGCCCACTACGGTGCTTCTCATTGAGAAGAAAACTGTGCCTGCACATCTCAGCGGATTGCCATGCATCGACTCACCTACTTTGCTATCAACAGTCTGGCGAGAGCTTGAGGACGCCGGCGAGGTCACTCGACTAAACTACTTGCTGAAAAAAATGATCAACCCCTTGTTCAAATCTATGATCCAAACATTTAGGGGCCGGGAAACCGAATATCTGGCACAGGTGAAGCTTGCGATCACCCACCATACTGTTTCCGCCGGCGCAACGGGCACCGGCCCCGACTCCTTGGTGATCTCCACAGACAAGCCGCTGGCTTTTGTCCTTGACCAGCCCAAGCAGGACGGGAAAAAAAGGAAGAAGAAAGCCAAGAAGAATGCGCTGACTGCTACATCTTTTGGGGCAATGGTTAACGTCTCAAAGATGAAAGATGCCAGTCGGTTTGTGATTGGGTGGCGAGCAAGGTTCCCCAGCAAAAACAACAAGTGACAATTGAATGTTTGACTAGAAGAGATCAGCCTGATAAGCAGTTAAGCCTTGGTGATACTGAGGTTGGACACTAACAGCACCAGTGGAGTGAAAACTATTGTTCCAATCCGCCCAATAGCCTGTGTCGCTGGGGTCCTGGATTTGGGCGAGACGGTTGTCCGCATCTTTGGATAGCCTGAGCCTGGCGATGGCGATTGGGATTGTGATAGTTGGTATGGATAGCCATGGCAACCAAAAAAATATCAAAACATGTTCAACATATGCGGGTAACATATGTGTATACCATTGATGCATATCAACTGTGACTGTGGACATTCCTCTCCTTTGTTCTGATTTTTGCCTTGGCCTGCCAACCGAGTTTTGAATTTTTGTCAGGATGCATCAGGTAAATCCTGTGCTGCAAGGAAGTCCGCGTGATGATGATGCTTTCACTGAATACCACCCAAAGACATGACATCAACTATATAATAGTAGTCCCAAATAAATCATGGCACACTATTGCTGTCAGAATATGTTTTGGGTTGCAGGGGTGGATTGACTTGGGACTTGGATCCCAACCAAACCGGAGCTTGTAGAAAAACATCAAAAAGATCACCTGGTGAAACTGGATGTTGATAATGGAAGGTGATTGCTCAACAATTTACTGTAATACCTTTTTGCATGGCCCATCCAGGATCAAGGACCGAACATCAAGTTGTGCCACTTAGCCGTATCTAAAAGCATCTTAAAGCCATGGCAAAAAAAGGCTGTGCAGGATGATTCCGATGTGGAGTATGTCCCGGGTCCCACCAAAAAAATCTCTCGCAGCTCCAGCTTCTTGATTGATATAAATGACATTAGATTACTACTTGCATTATGTTTCCAACCTTATAGAGTCCCTACTGGGTGTTTATAGCTGCAATGCTTCTATGATTCTGTGCTGTGCACTAAGGCTTTCAGTCTTGAACGGATGTTGAAGGAGAACGTGCAGACTGCAAGTCGCCCTGTTGGTTCCAGGGTTCCATCGTCCACCGCAGGAAGTTCCAGCAGTGCCAAACCTGCAACTAGAATGACTGAGTTCTCTCACAAAAGAATCGTTGAATGACTAATGGTCTTGGTTCCAATCTTGGTTCTCCAACATGTTGGATTTCGGGGGGGGCACACCTCAAGGCCATCATCCTCCTGCCGGTGGGGACACGGCTGTCAGCAGCCTCATTCTGCCAGATCGAGTCCAATCATCGGAGGAATCCTCGCCGGGGCAGGGGAAGGGTTCCAAAAAAGATAACAAGAAGCAACCAAAAAAGAACAAAAAAAGAGTCTTCAAAGAAATTGAAGAAAGACAAGAAAGACAAGAAAAAGAAAGATGAAGATGAGACAGATGGGGACGATGATGACCATGATGCCTTCCCTGGTGACGATGATGATAACGATGATGGGTTTGATGACCTGGATGGGCTTGCAGATTTGTTTGGGGGGGGATGATGAAAGTGGTGGGGGTAGTGGTGGCCCTGCCAAACGACCTGCCGCATCGAAGACAGCTCCCCGCAAGCGGCCAGCGGGGAAAAAACATGGTGACCTTGAACTTGATGAGGTCCCGAAGGCTTGGGGGTCACATGGGGTCACTATGTATGCAATCCATTGTTGGGTTTCAATCTTATACTTGCCGGTGTTTCAACTTCTGTGAGGCGTTGCCTTTCCAGCACATGATTGAAGGTGTTGAGGCTATGGCAATGGAGACAACGCCCCCCTTGTGATGCTAGGCTGGTTTAGCTTATCCCATCCGCGCACATCAGTTCAACAAGCGATTGAGAAAACTTCACCAAGTCTTCCATTGCAACGTCGCTGGGCAGGAACTCTTCAGCGCCTACTGTGACTAAGTGGGATCCTTTGTTTGATTCTATGGATCAAGTGGTCCCTGAGAGCTCAGCAAACAGTGGCTACCCAACGCAGGACTATCTCTTGCCTGATCTTGATTTAGAGCTGCTGGAACAGAAAGAACAGTTTGAATTGCCAAACATGTGTCCAATCTCATTCCAACCATTGGTGCATTCTGGTGTGCTTGGTTCCCAAAAAGAACAACCAAACAAAACTAAGGCAGTGCCGGGAAGAAGCTGAGCTGTTTGGCGATGATGATGATGGGATGATGAAAGGTGATATGGGTAAACATGACGTGGACATGGAATCATGCGTGATGGGAACTTTGAAAGATCCCCTGTCGCCTGTTGAGTCCTATCACCCTGACAACCAGCTTGGTTTGATCACACCAGATCCTTGATCGCGCCAGAAAATGATTTTAAATTCCAGTCACAATTTGCCCAAAACCCTTGCCGTGAGCAGCCATGTAAGGACCCTCCCACAGGAACATCTTCTTCTGCATATCCCGATAACAGTGGGAATGTACGACCAGTACTTCAGCTGCACTCCATTCCGTGATTGTGATTTAAGTTTGAAGTCAACACTGGGTGGCCATACTGAACCCAGACTGCAGGAACTACATCGGCTGAATGCGCACGAGGATTTTGACTTGGTCCTGGAACCCAAGCAGCTGCAGTTCCAGGCCATATCATCAACCTCGGTTCAACTTAGATTCACACAGGCTCACAAACTTGAAGTGGACCCTTGTTGGGTTTGGAATCCTGTGAGGTTTGTTTGTGAACACAATTGTCTGTCAAATCGCCAGACTTTACACACAGCCAGGTTGATGAACTATCAGTACCAACTATGAGTGTGGAGGCGCTTTCTTTGGAGCGACCAGACTCAGTGACTGAGGCCAGCATGCAACCGCCAGTCCCAGAGGGGCCTTTTTTGGAGAACGCTGAGAACACCAGTATGGAACCAGCAGTGGATACTGAGCTGCAACCACCAGGGGAAGCTGACACTGAAGCAAACACCAGTGTTGCAAATCAGGTCTCTGTGGACAAAACCAGTCCAGGAGCAGCAGTTGCAGCTATCGCAACTCCAGCACGCAGTCGGAAACAAGCAGACAAGAGCAGTGCATCCAAGAAGAAAACTCCGCCAAAGAAAAGCAACACCTACCAGAGGCGTGCCAAGGATGATACTGAGAGGAAGTTGCATTCAGTAGCCTAGCTGAACCATGGTTAGAAGTGTTACCGTTGCGCCGCCGCTAGTGAACTAGTGAACTACTAAACAAGCTTGCCCAAACATCGCGCTCACAAAAACATCGCACTCAGGTATATTCCAATGCACACACGCATGCCAGAAAAGTTCTGCATCTATCGCCGAACTCCAGCAAGAACCATGCTGCTGCAGAACGCTTGAAGTGGCCCAGCTGCACTGCACTCATCTATTCTTTGCAGGTGTTTCACCATTGTGATTGTTTTAGTCAACCTTTTTCAAGACAAGGACATAGATAGAATATGATGTATAAAGCCGACTGCCCAACAATACCGCCAGGTGGGCACAAGATGAAGGTCAAAAGAACCATCCCGCTGTGAAGCGCATCTTGGGATCTTAGTGGACTAGTGAACTTCTGTGGACTTGATTGGCTACCTACCTTTCTCAACCCACCAAAGTTGGGTAGTTCTCAACCCACCGAAGTTCAGGGTAGTTCTCACCACCAAAGTTCAGGGTAGCCAGTTGAGCCTCCTGGGGAACTGCATCCAAGCCACAGTGCTTGGTGGGAAACTCACATGAGATAGAGCCGGCTGGCAAAAAATGGCTGCAGTGTGTGGAAGGAGCCAGTTCCACATTGGAAAAGCACCAGTTACAACTGGATGAGTCTTATAGCGGTTGTATTCGTGTGAGAATGCTGCTCTGAAACACTGAGTGGGATGGTGATCAAAGAAACAAAGCTGCCCAAAACACAAGAGTTTGGAACAGCACAAGTCCAAGTATGGTTTTGGGATGTGTGGGGTAAATCTTAGGGTGTTAAGATGATGTTAGGAACACAAGAGTTTGGAATCCAGTTCAGAACAACAAACACCCCCTACATGTATCGTGAAATACCTCTAAGATCCTCTAAGACTCTCTACGCGTTTCCCACTTCTCCAGGTCCGGCTGCCGGTCACCGGTGCCTTGCTGCTCCGATGCGATGCCTCGGTGTCCAAGCGCCGGCCCACCGACGCACGCGCTCGACCAGTGTGGTGCCCAGGGACGGCTGCGGGTCGTCGCCAGCTCCTTTCGGATGGCCTCAGAGGGTCCCAAATGCGGACTGCATGTGATACACCATGTGGTCAATGTGTGTGCGGAGACATCTGAACCCATCTTCTGAACCCATACCCTTTCCCATGCCCATGGACCCATGTATGACCGATGATGTCGTATAGATACGCCGACCCCTGAAATCAACCAACCCCAACTGGACGGTGCATATGCCTTTAAAAATGCCATACATCATCATATTCATACATCGGTCTCAGGGTCCACGGTCTACTGATTTGCCAGGCGAAAGAGATCGACAACAACGACTCAGAGCTCCGACTTCATTCGCTGCCGCCAGGCCATCGTACTCGACTCGGAGCTCCGCCTGATGGATCTGAGGTTCGGTCTGTGGCGGCCCTGCAGGTCACAGAGACCAAGTCGGGTCCACGGACGGACACGTGGACTTAGCGAAATCATGAACAGAACCGACATGAACCAACCCAGCAAGTCCAAAGGACGGGTTAAACTGGTGCGTTAGCGTAAAGGACGCATTTCACCTCCCAACTTTCAAGACATAATTTCCACAGGTATTTCACGGCCTTTCCAAGCTTCCAGCTCCCGTTCTGCTAAAGCACCGGTTAAACCGGTGCGTTACTAAAGAACTGGTTAAACTGGTGCGTTGACCCACTGGGCAACGACGTTTGGGGGAAGAAGGTTTAACATAGAGACCGCTGGTCAAACAAGCAGAGCCCACAGCTCCACGGAACAGCACCACGTGCTGAATCAGGCTTTCCACGTTCCGGCGGCTTACCCACACGTGTCCGGGCAGGGGGGACCGTGAAACGAAGGACCTCGTACCGCCCGCCCGAGGGCCAGACATACTCACGCTCGTTGGCCCGGACACGTTCGCTCCTGGAACGGAGTGGCGAGTGGCGGGAGGTCAAGGGGATTGCGTGTCGATATCACGTGTCCCATGACACGATGGATTCGCGACAAAGTGCATGCATAGTGCATGCATTACGTGGCACAAACTGGCCTAATGTTCATGAGGCACCATGGGTTCTGGCAAATTTGTGACCTGTACGAAAATCACCAACTGTTGCCCATGGTGGCTGTTTGATGGATTGCCTGGGTTGGAGAAAGAACGAGAAAGTCAAATGAGAAAGGTCAAGTCCGAGAAGGTCAAATCATGTCAAATCCAAGAAAGAGGTCAAGTCCTCGTTGTCAAGGCAGTGTCAAGCTGGGCGAGCTTCTCATGGGCCTGGTTTTCGAAACCGAAGAAGGCTTCGCTACAAAGCCAAGCTCAGCAAAGCTCGATCAAAACGAAAAAGCTCAGCTTCCATGCCAGGGACACTCTTATGAACCACCAGGCAGTTTCCTCGTCACCCCTGACAACCTTCCTGACGATGGATTCTTGCTGCCACCATTGTGATACCTTGTCATACGTTGTCACCCTTCTCGCCTTCTCGGGTGTGTCCCTTGGAATGTTGTCTCCCAAGAACACAAACGTCGGCCTGTCGGCCTGTCTCCCTCGTTGCCGGCCTCGCGCAACTGTTGCCGCAGGCCTTCCGCTTCACCTGGACCGTTGGGGTTAAAGAAGTGGTCGGTGTTGGAAGGTAGCGTGGTCGGTACTCGAAATGCGATGAAACTCGTTTTGGCACTTTTTTTTGCACGTTTGGATGTCTGTTTGGGGTTGCAGATTCACCTGTACCAGTTTGAAGCATCAAATAAATGAGTTTAGATGAACAACTGTGATGCGACTGAAAGCAACTTGAAGCACGGCCTTTACCAATTATGATTGTCAACCTTCAAGGACAATTGAATTGTTACCTTTCTTTTGGGACTGAGAAGCACCGCTGGAGAACAAGGTAAGGTCCTTCTGAATCTATGAGAGTCTCTGAAGTAAGCAACAACTTGACACGACTAAGCTTCCACACTAGCCGATTGTTCCTTTTCTGCTGCATATGAGGCCACCAGCTTCTTTTGCCGGTCCTTGCATGCATAGGGATACAAGGTGACTAGCGAATGGGTTGGACTCATATCCTCTGTTATAGTTGCTATAGAGACCAAGCTTGCAATACATGGATCAAATAACAACTAAAAGAGCACCTGATTGACATGTGCATGAATGTCACACATCCTGCTTTAGACAAATGCTTTGGGCAGGGGAAATCAGCACAAGACCTATAAATGAAACTCCCAGAAGCCTGGGTCCGAATAATCTCTTCTCACGTCAGTTCTTCATTGACTAGCCCTTTTGGTTTGCTGAGTCATCTCCAAATCAATCCGGCAGTCTCAGGTCAAATCCCATAAATAAAATCAACTCAAAATCACCAGCATTCCCCGAAGCTCGATGCCTTCAATCCTGAGATCCCGAGCTTTCCCTCGAATCGTTGAGCTTCTTTCATCATATTCGACGTCATCGTTGACCACTGACGATGGTACTTGAAGATTGCGAGGGTGCATCGAATGGCACTCAGTCTTCTTGCACCCGCACTGACGTAGCTAGAAACGTTACTCCCGAAAGGCTCAAAGGGTCATGTCCAAAGAAACCACCCGTCACGTGTGGACCCTCCCAAGCAACGCGAACCAGCTGGGTGTCCCCCGACCAAATCGTCGGAAGCCCGCTGCAACGCGGCCTCTGCGGTGGACCGGCGCTGTTGAGCCTGGTGGACCGGCACCGATGGAGGCGCGACGGACGGTCCAATCGACCGGGAGACCCCCGATCGCGGCGCCCAGGCGAACCGAACGCCTGGGATGATCTCCCCTATTTTGAGCCACACATGTGGCGCCATGGGTCAAACATTGGGACTGGCAGTTGACCAGCACGACGTCTGGCTGGTCGGCTGCTTTTGGCCCACAGCTGACATGTTTTCAGATGTTTTCTATACAATGGTCAATATACTCAGTGGGTCTACATCCCATGAATTCTTCTTCTAGTGAATACACCACGCGTTCCGGGAGTCCTTGGATTCCGAGGTCCTCCAAAAAAAAGAACAGGCACGCCGCGACATCTTCCAGTCTCCCGTCTCGTCGCCTACTGGGATTCGTTGGGATCCTACTAGCGCCAGGTTTCACCGGCCGAACAACTCAAAGAGATCGGTTCAACTCAAAGAGATCGTCCAAGCTGTTCACCAAGAGAGACAACCTTTGAAACCTCACCTACAAACGGTCTCCCTATAGTTCTGTGTCCAAAGAAAGACTTTGTTGTGGTGTGTTGTAGTACATGTCTATATAGATATCGATAGGTTTACAAATGGACCACTAGGACCCCAGCCACTAGGACCCCAGCAGCACAACGCGCGAGCTCTGTCGTTTGCAGTCTTTGCTGCAGATCGTCCCGTTCCTGCGCAGTCGGTTCGTTTGTGGATTGGGGTGGCCCCCGGCCCATGTATGGGGCCCATGACAGGGAGCTGATGATAGGCCTGATGATACTATGTATAGCATCATAGATGGTACAATATCAATCAATTGATCAAGTCAACTCATCTTGGGAACCTGAGAATTGAATTGAAATCACGTAGCAAGGCGTCTCCCGCAGCATGGCCGCTAGCGCAGCAGAAGTGGGCGTCGTCCCTGACATTGGCGTCGCAGCAAAACAGCCGAAACAAATCCTTGAAGATCCTCTTCGACGCGTGCGACATGACGAAATGCTAAATGGAGGACGCACGGACGCAGCTCAGCTCGGACTGTATGCGATGGACGGTGCTCCGTGGGTTCCACGTTTTCGCGTCCAACGCACCGTTCCGCCCTCTCAAAGCAGCAGGAAGGACCCGGCGGCTGACCCAGTGGCGGATTGGGATTGCTTTGGCGGGGCCTTGGAGCTTTGTGGAGCTCATAAAAACTTGCAAAAAAGGAGTGGAATTCTATGATGATCAACGTCTATTCTTTTGTTTAACATGCAGCTTTTGCACATCGCACAGAATTCTAATTCCGCCATGACCACACATGCACACCGAGAATGAAATACAACATCTACAGTCTACAGCCACCAGTATGAATCTATATGGTGCTCTCATACAAACCACCCTTACGTTCAAACTCGTTTCCAACGGTCCAAACTCACTCGGTGAAAAGACCCTCGCCCTGATCGTGTCGATCATCTCCAGACCGTGTCTGGACAGTGTTTTCTTGTTAGTAGCAAGAATGCTACTAGTAGTAAGGCCAGGAGCCCCTAGCAGCGTCCTTGCTCCTAGTAATACGGCCAGGAGCCCCTAGTAGTGTTCTTGTTCCCAGGCCCTTTCTTACTAGTAGCGATGCCCTTGCTCCGTTCGTAGCTTCTTGTTACCGTGTCTGGACCGACCCAAATCTCGGGCGCCAGGGCGGTGAGACCGTCACAGGCTCCGCGCGTTCCTGTCTGCCAGGGACGGCCATGAGGAGAGTGACGCGCTGACAGCGGGGGTTTCATGCTAGATTTACAAGTACCCTCCATCCAACAAACATGGAAGTGGAACATGGCCCCTTGGAAGACGAATTCCTCCATGAACAGGCTGTATTCCACTTCCATGATCGTTTCAGGGAGGGTACACTAACTACAGTATACCCTTTCTGGACATATTGACATTGTTGTACTGTTCACAGCTTTTTACTGCTGCTGAGCAACGGGTTCTGTCATGACATGTCATGACTATGATCCTGACTCCTGACTATACCTACACATGGGACACCGGAACGACTCGTCAGTCAAATCCCTCGACGTCCGCTGGGTCTCCCCGGCCTCGGCAGCACCTGGACGGCGTCCACGTTTCACGCCAAGAAGACCCTTTGGATGGTCCGTAGTTCTAAAATGGACAGCCTTCACCAAAGAACCGGGAAAGGGCATGGAATACAACGGAACACGGAAACTGAAAAAAGCGGTGTTCATTCACACCTTCGGTGTGTGTGAGCCTTGCTGTATTTACATGCATTTACAGTGGAGGGTCTGAGGTGCGGTTCGGTGCTTTTTGCAAAGACTTCGCCTTGGACACGTGGAGCGGTATGAGCATCAGCTGGAAAGTAGCCTGTTCATTCAGCAGAAAGCAGTGGGAACACAAGATTCTGACAGGACAATTTCACTGTCGAAGGAAGGATTCCTGCACCACTACCTCAGATTTCTTAGAGTACCTCCCACAGACGGTTGTTCAACATGATTTTGTTTCTCCCATTGTTCAACGGTAGGCAAGCGAGATCGACCATCGCACAGACCCAGTTGGACCCACGGAAATTTGGCCAAGGACGAGGCCATTCAGCTGGCCCAAATGTTGATGCAAACGTCCATTGGTCGTCAGCAACGAAGAAATCTCCTGCCTGGCACATGTCTTGGAACCACTGTGGTCTCGAATCCGAAGTGCAAACTGAAGAACGGAACTTCAGTCTTTCATGGACTTGCTCTGGCTCAAAGGTCAAGACCCCCACCATTTGATGAACATCTCCAAAAAAACCGGCTGGCACATCTACACCCCGTGCTTTGGATTTGGGGGGGGCGAGGGATCCAACATGTGCTGAGAATCGACAAATTTTCCGAACAATTTTCGAGGGGATCAACAAAAACAGCCTGAACCTTCCAACTACCAAAAAAAATCTGATCGGTTTGGTTTTATGGTCGTTTTGGTCGTTGTATTTGTTTTGCGTTGGTCGTTGGAAGATCCAGGAGTGTACACAAAATATCAGTGCACTTGCGATCACTTTCATGGTGGGCTCAGCGGATTTCGTGGCAGGCAGGTGCAGCACTTGGCGGACTTCGAAATGCAGATTGCACGGCAGGCGCAGGACCTCACTTGTGCCAATTTCGTTGCTGCAAGGCCTTGCTGACTTCGATGTGTCGATTTTGTGGCCAGCACTTGGTCAACGATGTGACGAAGTTCGGTCAAGTTGCACTGCTCCACCGCTGGAGGCTCCACTGCTCTGCTGGCCTTTCACCCCCCACGATCGCCTCAGTGCGGCGATCTCCGCTCGATTCTCTTCAGCACGGGCACCAGGCACTGCGTCAGCGCCCGCAGCGGCCATACCAGTGCTTCCCGTGGCACCACCTGAGACGTGGCAGTGCCGTTTCAAGTTGGACGGCGCACATGGCTCTGATCTTTTTTGGGGTGGTTCATCAGCTCTATCGTTTTTCCCCTGCAAAGGACCAGGGGAATGATGGGGGAGAGATGATTCAACAGTCAGATTCGAGTGATCACCAAAAACATCCAAAAAATAAGCCTTCCTGGCCAAAGACATGTTGACAACATCATCAACGCAGCTTGTGCGGCCAGAAGACGGGTGGCGACCGTCACTTCTGTTCAGCAACCATGGCTGCGATCACAATGCAGGCATTGGCTTCCAAGGATGATGAGACTGTTTGGCACTACATTCCCCCAACCTGAGGCAGTTTCTTCTTGACCCGTCCGGGCTTTCTTTTGGACCAGCCAATTGTACCCAGGAAAAAATGGGGAGTACATGGGAGTACCTGTCTGTCTCTCATGACGAAGCTGAAAGGCCGTGACTCGAATGCACGACACGTTTACTCGTGCATTCTTCTTCATCTGCTGTGCTCAAATGCAAACGTTCCGGACATGTCCCTCACGCTCATGACTTGCATCTTGAAAATCAAGTAGTCCCGCAACAGCCACGTCACTATTATCCATGTTCTTTCAGATCTTTCAGAAATTCATCCTCGAAGCTGACCGATCTGGACATGGGCTTCCCGAATTCCTTGCAAATGGCTCTGGAAGGTCAACGGCGAGGTCCGAGTCAAAGGATGGCTATAGCGGACCATTTCAAGACCAGCTGGTGAAAGAACCCACAAGCAGATCTGTGAAGACCCTCTGGTTGATCCTTCTAATATAGACTCTTGACTCTTGATTACGTTTGAAATCCTCCAAGCTTGAAGAGGTGTAAATCCATGTCAAGGGGGTTGAAGTATCATCAAGAGTTACATTCATTCATTGACTCCATTTCTTTTGCCACGCTCAAGCAATGGAATGGAGCAATGGAGGCCTCTTCCTTGCAAGAGTTTGAGCAGAAAAAGATCTTCAACGACCTTTGCCTGGTGCTCGTGCGTCCTTTTTTCCCTGTGCTAAAGGGAGCTGGAGGTGCCAGTCATCAGCATTCTCTGATAGGAGGGGCACCAACCTCACTGCAAAATGTCTTCCACAATTCCACAAGACAAATCTGTAGGTTTCAAGAACAGTCTAAGGATCCAATAACATTAATTGCATGCGAAGCGGCGCCTTGTTGGCAAGAAACATCAAGAAAACTTCTTTTCGAGCGCCCACTGAACAAGTTTGGTGCCAGTGAACGGATCACTTCTGAGATGCAAACTCATGCGAACTTTGACCATATGCCTCAAGTGAAACCCCGGGTGCAATATCTATCGGTCGAGGGGCTGGGGCACTTCTATATGTTGTTGTTGACCAGGAACTTGCTGTAGAGGATTGCAAAAATTGCAGTTGTCAAGCATGGTGCAAGCAATTCATGCAACGAGGGGGGGTCCAAATGTGCAACCTCGGCACCCACTCCAGAAGAGGGTCGACCACATAGTTGAGTGTTCTTTTCTTAAACTGGGGCGGCTTGTGCTCCCGGCCTTAGACTTTGGAAAGCTTGATAGATCGTCCCCCATGTCAACTATATCATACATATCGATCTATACATAATTAATTATACATGTATATTATATAAATATTTAATATGTGGTCCATATATCTACTATCATACTATCGTACATCATACATCCAACAGGTCTTGAGCTGCAACCCAATTGGCGATGCTTTCGTGTCGAGGCCACCGTCGTAGGTCTTCGCCTGTTCGCCCCAAAACACAGGCGAGACAGCTGGCAGCCAGGTGAGGCCAGTTTTAACGCTACGAGTACCAGTACTTTTAGCTTCTTGCTCCGTTCGTAGCGATGGCCTCCAACCTAATAGCGATGGCCTCCACCTAGTAGCGCCCTTACTCACCTGAAAGTTTGCAGTGACATTCCCTGAAATCATGGAAGTGAATGGCATGGATGAACATGGCTCCTTGGATGACCATGAATTCCGAATACCGATTCGCCGACAAAAACACCATCCCGTTTTCATCCGTTTTCGGGAGTGCAGATGTTCATTCACTTCTTTTGCGACCAGGATAAAACATTGAAACCAGCTTGGGATAACTAGTTCAACCCACATCCAAAGACCCGTCGGGACATTTTCATTGTGGATGGCGGAATGGCGTGAGGAGATGGCGCCGACAGACTCAGCCTCCTATAACACTGCTTGGAACAGCCCGACACCTCCTGTTGTGTGAGCCAACGTTCCGACAGCAGCTCGTTCCTGGGCACGAACTGTCTGACAGTTCCTGTGCACAGCTGCGCATTGGGTCGAACAGCTTGGCATCCACGGACCCTTACACAGCTGACCGTATACACACCTGACCTTACGGGCCACTGCGCCTTCAAAAAAATCAAACCCGCCATCTGTACCCGAACTCATCAAAATGGTCAGCTCTTCTTTCAATTGGCTCCGGGCGGTGTTGGAACGTGTTGCTCATAAGCATCCAAATCTGCACCCCAGTGGCCTAGGATGTGAAGCTAGCAAGCCCCTTAAAAATCATCTTCTTACAGCTTAGAAGTCACTAAAATCACTAAATAATATACAACAACTTAGAACTGTTCTGTCAACACACCTCAGATACCTCTCACATACCTGAGATCCAGGCTTGCAGTTTTGGTGAGCAAAGCAGCCGTCCTTGGATTCGCGATTTGTATCTTTTCGCGGAGAGGCAATTGTTGCTCCTCGCTTTCGCCGAGAGCCTGACAGTGGTTCTCGACCTCAGATTTCAGTGCATGGAGGGTATAGGGATAACAGGGGTGTGTGGATAGGGAGACACCCTGTGCCTGTTTTTTTTCCCTGGAAGAGTAGCCTCGGTAGACGGACAATGTTCTGAATCTTCCAGGGGGGTCCAACTGCTTAACCAGGCGGTCTCTCTATTTGAGCTACAGTTACACACTCATGTTTAAACCCTGATAGATTGAAGGTGACCAGTTGAAACAAGAGCGCAAAAGAAGTCGGGCCTGGGGATGTTCACACGTTTTCAATCGTTTTCAAACGTCCAGCTTGGGTGCTGAAACCTTTTGACCCAAAGCCCAGCGCCATGCTGCCCAGTGGCAACGGCGAGTCTCATCTAACACCTAGCATGACTCTTTAACAAAATAAACATGTGTGTGTGTGTGTTGCAAATGCCGCGAGGATCTTGAGATCTGTATACCGAGAACACCCTCAGTAATCTTATTCCGACATGCAGGTATGAAGCCAGCATCTCCACATATCTCCACGCAATCTGGCCTTGAGGCCACCAATTCCTCCAAAAGTCAATCGCTCCTCACTTGCTCCAAACAGAATTCATCAGAATTCACCCTATTCGCATCTACTCACCCACTATTCAGCCTCTATTTGTTGCACCGATCCGCTCCAACGTCCCCCCATCGCATCCCACCTGGGTGGACAACTCCCGGAGCGCTTCAGGCCGAGCATCCGACAAGAGCGACGCCTACGACGTCGGCGGCGGTGAGTGAGATGGAAAGCGATGTGCAAAAGAGAGGATGCTGAAGTGGAACATTGAATACATATGAATACATTGATTTCGATCTCCCCCTTCAGCACTTGCCAATGTTTTGTGGATTGACTTGGATTGACCAAATCACTCGCGGTTTGGGGAGTTGGTGGGATTTGATCATGCGTTCACACAGAGATAAAAGAATGTCTTTCTGAAATGTTTGGTCTGGGACGACCCGAAAACAACAAGGACAAGGACCCCAGAAATGGAGTCAAGTGCGAAAGCGGCACAAAACACTGGCTCGTCGTGGGCTTTAAGCTCAGCACCGTACATTCTGATCTTCTTTTTTTCAGCAGGCTTGTTTGACAGTACCTGTCCTGGAGAAGTCTGTCCGGATGATGCCTGGGGACACCCCAGGTAGAGTGACAAGAAGCCGCCGCTGTTAGCGCCATTCAGTCAGGTCCGGTCCGTGCATTCACTCTCCAGGCCTCCAAGTGCATGCAAACTCCAAGAGCAGCAATCAGCCACCCTGGAAAAAAACAAAAAAGCATGTTCAAATCATACAGCAAACCACTACAGGTGTGGGAGCAACATGGACCACTAGCAACACTGCTTATTTAAGTGTTGTTCCTTCATGTTCTAGATTGGTGGTTGAAACAAAAACACTTTCCAAGTCAGACATAAGGACTCTCTATTCACGAATCTGATTCGTTTGATCGGAGTCTTCCCCAAAAACACCACGCAAGACTCCGCCGTTTGATCGGAGGTCAACGCCTCGGCGCGTCAGCAGCCGAGCGTACTGCAACCACTGCGCACCCGTTGTAGCACCCGTGACGGCCTGGCGACCACTGCGGGAGGAGATGCTGTCCGTGGCTTGGGCGGGTCTGTCCGAATGTCCAAAACGGTTTTGGAACAGGCTGACACTTCTTAGAGGAATTTAAACAGGAAAAAAAAGAAACGTATTTTGTGAGTGAAAAAAAAACAGTGAAAACCACATATTTTGTAAAACTGAATGGCTAAAATCAGGACTCACCGTCTCGTCCAACAGTTTGGTGGTTTGTGTTCTTCAGAAGCAAACTGATGGCAAGAAGGTGGGGCCAAAAGAGGAAGTGCCCGGTCACGAGAGGTTGTCTGAGATGGTTTTTGGCTTCCACTTTCCCCTCATTGACATCCACTTTTGAAGCAAAGGCCATGGATGTTCCACCAAACCGACCTGCTCCCTCACTCGGCGCTGTTGATCTCGCATTCGCAAGCTCAGCAGGATTGCCTTGTGTGGTGTTTCGGCGCTTTCAGATCACGTGGGGTGGTGAAGTAAGTGAAGGATTTTCGACCCTGGTCAGTGAAGAACAACAAGATAATAAATTAGATCTGGAAATGAGTTCGGCCACTTGGCACAAGAGGTGTCTTCTTCCCGGTGTTTTAGCATGTGTTTCAAGTGTTTCCATGTCTGTCCTTTCTATATCAGCCACCCTTCTGCGGCGGCACTGCTTGCCTGGCCGCTGTTGGACAAGGTCCGCCTCCCGTGTTCAAACTGTTCCCTCCGCTCAGTCAATATTCGGATGCGCGCTCATCCGGTCGTTGGGGTCGTTGGAAGAATCGCAAGAAAGGAGTTCGGAGGACTGATGAGGAATGGTATATGAGTTTCAAGTCCATGATCATACCTGCATGTCGAATGGGCAAACACATCAAAAGACACACACAAAACACCGCTTCCAAGTCTGATTTTTCTTCGCCTGCTGGCATTGGAACCACCAAGTGCTGCTTCCAAACGCCGCCTTTGCTCATCTTCACCTCCTGCCACAACCCTCCACAAGGTCCGGCACAAAAGGATGGTCATTGCGATGCTTCGATGTTCAAAGAAATGGCGGTGGCCAAGTCATTGCCAAGCTCCTTTCCAGTTGCGAAACTCTCCTCTCCAGGGAACGCGAAACGAGAACTCTATCAGAACACTGACACTATCCCTATGCCGTTTTATCCCTGACCAAGCTTCACTCCCTCCTCGCTTTCTCCGGTGTCCCGAAAAAAACCACGTGACCACAAGGCCTGGCATGGATCTCGGTGGAATCTCCAACACCTTCGCCATCCCTGGCCAGCGCGAGGCGGGTTTACGACGAGCCTGGCTGTTTGCATGGGAACTGCAGGAATTGCTGGAACTGCATGGATGAGCCATTATACTCCATAGTATCTTAGTGTTTGTCGAGTTCATTAATTCATTGTCCTTGGTTCCGAATGACGAAGGATGGTCCATTCATAGCACCATTTGTCCAGGCTGCGGGCCCGCCGAGCTGCCCCCGTCCGTGCGTTGTGCCCGTTGAACGCCTAGTAGGCAATTGTGGTGCGGGTTGAGGACCAAAGCCTCGCCACGATGCGCGTATCGTTGCGTCACCGACATGTCCGTCCAAGAAAAGTCAGACGAGTCGTCGCGGCGCAGGACATCATGGTCGGATGGACAGCGGGCTTGGGGTGAAACGCCCACCGGTTTGGGGCCAAAGAAGTTCGGATTCCGGAACGCAAAGATCCACAACAATGCATTCGCAATCAACCGGTCATTGACAAAGATTGAAACAGGAATAAAGCCTCCCAGCCTGTCGAACCAAAGCTCCGGCGGCTTTCGACCTGTTACTGTTTGTTTACCAAAGCAGTCAAACTAGGGGACATATGAGGGTGACAGATAAGCAACGCAACATGAACGTGGTTTGCTTTAATTGGGAGTCCCTCGTCATTTTGCGACCGCCCCAAATGATGCAAAACAGGACATTGCAGTGACATTGCATTCTGGTCAACAAGCATCAGTGTGTGTGTGTGTGGAAAAAGGTGCTTAACTTCTTTGTGCAAATTGCATTCAACAATCTTCTCAGTCATGTCACTACCAGAAACTCAAGAAGCAGCTCACTTGGCAATCCACATGTCCAGCGACGGATGCGAGAGCACCTGAACTGGATGTGCCATGTGGTGCTGAACTGGAGACGCCACAGCATCAATGTCCATGCTTTTCCAAATACCCACGACCAGCTTTGAAGGCAGTTAACTGGAAGCCAGGACAACAGCACATCCCGGTGTTTTCTCACCCCCGAAACAGGTCGAGTCGTCATCCTGTCCCCGCGGTTTCGACACGACCCCCTGAGGCGTTGGCAATGCCCAAACGGATCCAATGCCTTTGACCAGAACAACATGATCCCATTGAACAAGAAACAGCAGAACTTCTCCCCAAAAAGTGGCGAGTTGTTTCAGTGTTCAAAGCTTTTTGTCTCATGAACAGATGTGAGGCGCCTGCTCGGCCCGATTCGGCCCGGATGCTGCAAAAGAGAAGCGGGACGCACGGCCACTGGGCCACGTGCTCCAGGAAGAGAGGAGCAGCCCAAACAGCTGCCCGAGCCACGCGCACGGCCTGAGCCGAGCCACACGGAACGGGCCATTCCGTGCGAGCCAAATCAGCCTGGAGGAAGTTGGATCAATGCCCCGTCGCACCACTCAAGTTGTCTTTGTTTGGTGTCTCACCAAACCACAGAACTTCAGCTGTTTGCTTCTCCTTTCGGTCTGTCAACTGTTTCTTGTTCTCATGGTCTCTCCAGAATTCTACTGAAGGATGTTTTTTCAACATGTCAACCTCTGCAAGCGCCGATCAGACGTGGTCTCAGACCCGTGCATCCCAAAAGAGCTCGTGCCTGTGCAAACACAAACCGACTCGAAACTCGACATCCCCACTCCTTCATGAAGTCATAATTGGCCTTTCTCCACAGTCTCTCACGGCACGCCCGAAGCAACAGCCCTTCCGCCCTTCTCCTTGTGCCACCCCGAACAGCCAACACGCGTGCACCGCGCGGAACGCGCGTTCCGCGCGGGGCGATCGAAGCTGTTTTTTGTTTCGACCTTCATAAGATCATCGACCCGGTTGGGTCCTGCCAATCATCGAATTCCAATTCCTTTGCCCCCCTTCTGCGCCCGGTTCAGAGAGTTCACGTAGCCCATAAAGAGTCCTGGACATCGCGGCTGCTGAAGTTGTCTCGCGCAGGGACTCAGGTTGAGCGAGGTTTTGCAAGAACACCTGTTGAGCAAACGGTCATAAATCATAAACGGAAAAGAAAACGATTTGTTGGCCCGTTTTTGTTCGTAGATGGTAGTAGGTTGGAGCCATCGTCGCTACTAGGGGTGGAGGTCATCGCTACTAGGGTGGAGGCCATCGCTAGTAACTGTAATAGTATACAGTTTGCAGTATATATCTAACTCCGCAAATAACTCCGCTGCATTCTTGAGGACCTCAGGATGGGAACCCAAAACACAGCTGGGAACTGGAAATACCCGGCAGGAACCCAAAAAACCGTTTCTGGGAACCCAAAAAAAAGGTTCCAGGAAAAGAAGCACCACGGGAACCAGAAACACCATTCCGGGAACTGGAAACACCCAACCCACTTTTTCAAGACCCATGCTGCCAGGAATCCGCTCACATTGGCTGTGCCTGGGATCTGGTGGATGGAACCAAGTGACTCCAGTCGACTGTGAGGTCAGTCGACCCCTTTGACTGGTGGGTTACACTCCATTTTGCAGGCTGGAAGGACAGGTGACATGTTCCTGGAGCCCGGCAAAACAGGTCGACCTGGACCTTGATGCCGTTCTTTTAGCGTGATTCCTCACCATCCATCCAGAGTGATGCACCGAACCACACCGTCGAAGAGATGAGGCACTGAGGCACCATGAGACTGTGTGGTTTCCATCAGAACGGTTCCCTCTTCATCCTCTCAAACATTCTCAAACATTCTCAAACACACTGCCTGCGACTTCCTTTTCGTATGTGACAGTAGATGTCTCATCCTTCCCCCCCTATCACTCCCTGACATGTTTCTGGTCCCTTAACTGGCACCCCCCATAGCCCCACCCCGAATCATCCCAACCAGTGGGCCCGCTCGTTCGGAAGAAGACGCCCGTTGCGAAAAAGGCCGCCCCGTTCGTGTACTCAGCGCCCCCGAAGCCCCCGAAGCGCGCCTGGCTTCGGCCGGAAGTTCTCGATCGCCTCCTTTTGGATCTCCGGCGTCTGGCGATCAGCGCGGGCGGAGCGCGGACCGGACCGGACCGGAGGACAGGACCGGGGACCGGACCGCGGGGGGCTTGATGACATGTTGGGATGCGTTCAAGGCATAGTAAAGATCTTATCTGCAGAAGTACAACATAGTCCTCTAGTCCCCTATGACAATTCATTTGAGAAACGGACACAAGCGCACATGAAGCCTAGATCTTTCACAGCTGGCCTAGAAAATCTTTCATGATCTTTCTCAACTCTCAACAAGCATGAGTTCATCTATAGGCCACCCAAGAAGCTCCGTTATTGCGGACCCCCCCGCACGGCGCCTGAGTGACCAAATAATCTGCGCAAGCCTGGTCAAGCTGCCACAAGTTGATGAAGTCCAGCAGCTCCTGCCATTCGGTTTCGGTCTTGGTGTCAGTTTTGGAGACAGCCTGATCAGGCAGCAAAAGGCCAGGGAATAATAAGCGAGTGCCGTGGGTTTGGCCCACGAAGTCTTGATGCAGTGGTCTAGAGTCATGGTGTGTCAAAGAACACATTGAAAGATCTGCGAGCTGAGATCTATAATTACTCACTCTACAAATATCCCTACAAGAAAACCAGATTCTAATTGTATCCCAACTGCCACAAATGGGACAGAAAACATCAGAAAACCCTTCCCCTGTGTTGGGTTATCTGTACAGATTCTGTACACACTTCCGTGAAAACTCCCTTGCGTTGCTCGTCCTGCTGCGTTGGCCCCCCCACAGCACCGCCCAGCCCAGCCAAAGCTGGCAAGGGACTGGCCATGCCTGGACAGGTCTTTTTTCGTTAAAACAAGGGCACCAACAGCCATGGCCATGGCCCCCAATTTTGAGTGGATCCTTTTCAAGATGTACTGTTTTTTCATCCTATAGATCAACCGGATAAGACACCCAGAAACGCTAAAAACCAGTCTTTTCCCACGTTGCAATGGAACGTTGTCCACCTCATCTGGCCCGAGTGGGCAGGATGAAACCAGTGACCGATGTGGATGTCTCTTTGTGCTCTCCCACCGGTGGAGTGGTTGTTACTTCGAGACGAGAAGGACTCAGTGGGAACGACGTCATCAAAACACATCGCAGTCTCATGAACCAGCAAACATGGGATGTTTAATGCTGGGTTTGCAGCTGGTCCCGATGGTTCAGAGGATGTTGCCGTCTTGCCTTCTACCAGGCAAGCCTGGAAACTTCCAGGTTGAAAGCAGCTATTCCTTTGCACTACACCAGCAACGACAACATAGGCAATGTATTGCAGTCCGTTTTGAAGATTGGACACGAACGACTCTCTGCTACCAAAGGCATTGCACAACACCATCACACAGGAGTCTGTGCCCGTCCAAGGTCAGGGGCATCACGGCACGGTTCACCCGAAATTCTCCACGGTGATGCCGCCTATCGCTGAGGCCATTGGTGCAACCTGCCTTACATCGGTTGACGACGACGTCCTTTGCAAAGAAAAACATCCTACAAGCAAGTAACAAAAATAATATACCTACAAAGTCGTGCAGTCCATCAGAAAAGAACATAGTATCAGGAACAGGCAGCTAGAATTCAACATACGTATTACTAAAATGAAAGAAAAACAAAAAATTTTGGTGCCGAGTGCTGCAATATGTCAGGAGGAAGAACGCTTTTTCGTCTTAACGAGTCTCATAACATCTATATAACATCTATGTGTGCGGCGGCATTCATTTGGTACTAAACTCAATTACACTTTCTTACACTATCTATTATGTGGGGGCCTTATCTCGTTTAGACTACTTAAGTAGGAGGTCATGTCACAGTATCTCGTTCAAACTACTTTAGTAGCAAATCACACTATCTCGTTCAAACTACTTTAGTGTCATCAAGCTCTTGTGGGGGCCCTACCTCGTTTACAAGCGAATACTGAAGACAAACGAACAACTCGAGCATGCCGTAGACTACTTTATGTGGATCAGCCGCAGTCGAATTAAGAAGTCCGTTTTGTGTGTCCAGTATTGGACGGTCAAAAATCACCCTCTTTTGAACCTATAACAATAAAACAGCTTTGGAGGGAGGAAATTTGACCGTGTGAGGCAACATAAGCGTCTTGCAGGATTCTAAGGGGAAAGGGCATTTGGAACCTTTCAAGAAGAAACACCTTTGTCCTAGTGCTGTGTATAATAGACACAATTATCATAATTACATGTGCTATCTGTTCATTGCTGTTGATGTTGTGCTTAAACTGCAGTTAGATTTACCCCGGAGCAACGACACCAACATGGATCTGCGACTGTGTTTTTGTTGCACGGTGTAATGGGCCAGCTGTTGTTGTTGTTGTTGCTGCTGCTGATGCTGCTGGTGGTGGTGGTCCTGACTGACTGGTGTTTTCTGTGTCATTGTGGTGTCCACCTGTGTTTTTTCTGGCGACTCTGTGCCAACAGCCATCTTCTTTGCAATCGGCGCCATGGATGAAGCCGGTCCATGGGAGGTCCATGGCGGGAATCAAGGGGTCGACCGGTCGCAGCATGGCACCACGGCACGGCCCTGCCAAGCAATGGATGCGGCAGAAAGAGACACGTCTCAAAAAGGAAGCGCGCCAGGCTGAATGATCGAGACGCACACATGGGCGGGAAGCACAAGAGGGGCATGAGAGGGCCATGGACGGAAGCACAAGGGTGAATGAACAGGAACAAATGAAGGGGAACCCGACGAAGGCACGCGAACGCCTGAGATGTTTCGACAACAAACACCCTGGAAATTCCTTGTGCTTCCAAGAGGGCATGCGTTTGTGTCTCATGCATCTGTTTCGGCAACACTGTTTGGAAAGAAGGACGTGCGATGCACGTCACAACAGCTTTCAGTTGTGGCCTTCCGCACTTCCGGCGCTCGGCACGTCGCAAGGCATGTCTTTTCTTCAGCTCCATGTCAAGGCATTTACACGCGCCAGGCACGTTGGAGTCCACATGCGTTAATGGACTGTCATGCACACGAATGTGTTGGAGAAGACGTGCGATCCGCCGTGAAGGACTTAAGTGGGCGAGGAGCTGGATTTGGTGAATCCTGAACTGTTTGGGTGTAAATCATGCACAAAAACACCTGAAATCCGTCACCCAAGATATCCCAAGACTGAGATTTAAAACACACATCAATCCGTGTTGACTGTTTTTGAAAGAAAACCTGTTTCATCATTGTGTTTTGCGTGTCATCTTCTTTGAGGCGGTCTTGAACTAGTACGTTGCTGGATTTTGCATCATAACTTGTGACATATTCTGGGTTTGCATTGTCTTTTGATGTAAGCATTCGCAATGATCCTTCCAAAAAGTACAGTATTGGTTTTATATAAATGTCCTTCATTATTGATGTTTGAAGACTGTGTTTTCATTGCACGTCCCCACTACAAACAAGGATCATTGACATCATTGACCAATCATTCTACAGCAAACCACCGTAAGAGGGCTCCGCAAAAGCATAGAAGGGGGGCCTGAATCTAGTTTTGAGGCTCTTGGGTATGATGCGCAGGTCTTGTCAAGGTCTTCCAGCTGTTGCACTACTGCATCAGTATCTGTCTGTTTCCTTAAAAAAAGCTCATATGGGTAGTGGTCTGGTGGGGGGTGGTAATCGTCATGGTCTGGCCATTCCCACATATACCGGACGTGTTCGTCCA